GATTGGAGATGTCAGGATTTTGGAATTTGATAAATTTTGTAAAAATAGATGCGATCCATCTTTGATAATAAAACTCGCAATGTGTGTCTCAGATTATTATCCTATTAAATTCAAATTAAAATTAAAATAACTGTAATATGCAATAAAAATTATAGTACAACCAATATAAATTTGATATCTTCAAAGTATTCCAGTTATTAAATATTGTTAAAAATATATTTTAGCAAATAATATCTCAATATATGTATAGGAAGTTAGAAGAAAGAAAACACATTTACATAGCAGTGTTCAGGATAATAGAGGGTTACAAAGTAGTATTAATAAAAATTTACAGTATAGCTTTTTTGAAATCTGTATTTTCTTATAAGATTTTTTTTTGTCAATTTCACCCCTTCTTCCAATATATAACTGATAATAATTTTATATTCAATACATAATAATGGTTTCAAACATAGAAATATATCAGATTTAATATTTAATATATTTAAGATTTCTTTGAAAAAAGATTATAATCATAACTACAATTTTCCCATTTTGATTATTGCTAGTTTATGGCAAATAGTAGATGATTCTACTAAGCTTATTATCATGTTATTGCCAATTGGAAATTTTCCAAAACATATTGATTGTCAGATGAGAATTTTGCTGAAGAGTTATAAATGTCATAATGTTTAATAGAAAAGTTTATTCACTTTATTATTTACTAAATAGTTTGTGATGGATTTGTTTTGCAGACAAGCTTCAAAATATTTATATTTCACAAAATCAACAAATTTTGAATTTGAATCAAATCTTCAATTTGTTTTAATTCTAACTTAGAAAAAAAAACATGGTACTAACCAATCATGTTTTTTTTTGTATTTTTTACAAAAATGGAAACAGTGCGATATTGACCAATCATATTTTTTTGTATTTTACAAAAATGGATAATTAATAAATATCTTAATACTGACTAATCATATTTTTTTGTATTTTACAAAAATAAATAATTGATAAACATCTCAGTGCTGACCAATTATAATGTTTAACAGTATAAGTATGAATGGTAAGTAAGGTTGCTAGCTGTAGGTAATAATTACAGAGTAATTACAATATAATTGTCTAGAGTGGAACATTAACTAAGTAATCAAAACTACGTTAGATAATTATAGCATTTTTTATATCACAGATTTTTTACATTACACAAACAGCAACCAAATCCGAATTGTATATTAATACTGTAATTAAGTAAGAACATAATACAGTAACAACTTACAGTAACAACATAATACAGTAGCAACATAATATGCTAATAACATAACAATAATTTAATAAATAAAATTTAAAATGCTATTTTTTGTCAAATAGATTTTTAAATAAAATGTTCGCTCTTTTTTCACATTCATTATTGTTGAAATTTTCTTGGTCTAAATCTTGGTTACATGTAGATTTTAGTTGCTATTGACATTTTTCTGTTCTTAGTTTCATTAGATCCATGGAGCTACAACCAATTTCTTTAAGTGGTACATTCGACAATTGTAACTTTGATTGCTGAAAACTACTTGTCATATTAAAATAAGTTTTGAGATCCTATTTATTGAAAAGACCTTCTATTTGTTGTTGGTAGATCACAATATACCAGATTCAGTACTTGACAAATTTAAATAATTTAGGAAACTGGTTTAAAGATTTGTGTGATTCTTGAATGAATTGGTAAAATTCACAATTAAACATTGGATCTTTTAATGCATTGAATAGACTAAAGTCATTAAAATTACTACTTTCAATATCCAACTTAATAAATTTCATATAACATAGTTCTTGTAATGAAGAAACTGATATTTAAGATATTTTTAAAACAATATAAGCATAGCTTTATGCAAACTTCTGTCCATATTTTCTGTCTAGATAACAAATACTTAATGGCAAATGCAATCAACAATTTAACTATTTCTGATAAAGTTCTAATGCCTTTTGAGTTCTACATTTAATGTCTAAAGTAAGTTTATTAAGTTGATGATTATCTAGTATATAAATGCTTTCTAATAGTTCTTCTTCAAAAAATGAATAAGGATTCTTAATAATATTTTGAAGTTTTGTTATTTTACATACTACAAACTCTGACATTTGATATGCATGCCTTCTAGGAGAGAGATTTGTTTGTTTAGAAGTTTGGTTATTTAAATATAATTCAGTGTCATATTCTGTTAAAAATTTAGCTATTGGATAATAAAAATCTCTTTCAAATCAAACTAAAAATTTAATTTGTATGTTTAAAATTAGGTTATAAAGCCACTTTTGCAGTAATTTCTATTTTTTAATATATAACTTTGGGGCATTAGTTTAGGCTTTAAGTTAAAACAAAAACTACACTGTAAACTTTATATAAAAATTCCTATATTCAATATATTGTTTTACATACAATAATTCATAAAGCCATCTTGATCAAAGTGGCTGTTAATATTTTGTTATATGATATTGAAATCATTCTTCATATAATTTGTAAATATAGTCAAAACAAATGCCTATTGGTTTGTCTTTGTCAGATTTATTATAACCATTATTAAGGTCCTATATTAAATATAAAAGATTTGCAGGATGCTTTTTTTATGAAAATCTGATAATATTAGGCAACTTCCCAAATGCTATTTTCTCAAAGTTATTCATAATAATATATGCCACATGAAGTCTACATAGTATTCGAGTCATATTAGCTTCATTTATTTGGTTGAATAAGGTAATCACACTACTAGATTTTCTACTTATGTAATTTGTATTATATGAAATGCATACCAAACATTGCCAGAAATTAATTTTAAAATGATTAAAGTTATTATATATTACCTGAGCTACAGATTTTCCTGTACAACTCATTAAATCTTTCATTTTTAACAGTTAAAAATCAGGTTGATTTGTTTTTAAATTCTAAAATATAATGCATAGTACAAATATTTTTCACTGACCACACATTGACTTATTTATCATTATTCCAAGAGTAAAAAAAATAGAGCAATTGTTTTTATTTAGAATTTGATTAGTATAAATTTCACTAATTTATTGGTTTCATTAAACAATTGATATATATGAAGTTGGTAAAGACAACTTTTTTTCAGTTAAAAAATCTAAGATTAACTGTATAACTTGAACAGTATTTCTGAATGACATTTGACCAATTTGAGACACTTGAGTTGCCATTTTTATAAAATGTGTTGTATAATATTACTTATTTTTCTTTATAATTGCTTGAATACTTGTATTCAAATTTTACAAATCAGCAAATTGAGTTTTACAAACAGCAGCATGTAGTTTTGAGATGTGCTGGCATTGTTTACACTTATATTGTAATAAAGTCCCTACTAATTGTTTAACCTTATGATATTTTTTAGTATTTAAATGTTCTAATTGATCTATCTTTTTTTGTAATGTTTTATTACTCTGAATTAATAAACTCAGATCTTGAGATGATTTGTAAAGAGATGTCTTTATAAAATTTAAGACTTTATCTTGCAAAAAAGATGAAAGTAATTTGCTTTTGTTTGATCCTTTAGAATACCACATAGTGTTAAATAAATAAACAGTAGGCTTTAGTTAATCGTCAGGTAATTGTTCAATCATATTGATTAATTTTTGATGAAGTGTTATTTGATTTATTGTTTTATTACTAGTTGATTGGCTGGTCAATTGGATAATATCTTGGCTAGTTGATTGAACAATATTTTGGTAAGTTAACTGCAATTCATTGTCATCTATTTGTGTTATTAGTTGGTTAATTTCCTGAATTTGTCTGTTATATTGAGCAGCTTTTCATGCATCTACTAATGCTTGAGTTGCTTTACAAATTTGAGCTTTTTGTTTAGATATCTTTGGCATTCTGCAGTTATTATAATTTAATTAAAACTTGTCAATTAAGCAGAAGAAAATCTTTTTTGTTGTTAGGATTCTTGGATTAAACCTTAGGTTTTAATATGACTTTATTACAAGTAAGTAGTTTCAGTTTTATTAGTTTAATCAACTTGCTTGTTCGCAATGTTCTCTAATGCTAAATTACTTTATTGATGACTTTCACTCTAATTACACTTAGTACTTCACAAGTTGTATGATAATATCAATTAATTTGAGAAAAAAGTAAAGTTTAATTAAATACTAATCAAATCTCTTATCGTTATATATTTCTAAATGGTGCATCACTAATCAGTCAAATTAAGCTCTAAATTACTTAATTTTGTCTGTCATCATTATTATGCTTGATACTTGAAATTTCAAAATGATTCAACTTATTGACAAGCTACTGAATTACCTTGAAACTTTCATGAATTGTTTATAAAATGCTAACGAATAAAAACTACATTTTAAAATCTTCTATTAATATATAAATTTTGTACATTCATCCTATAGAATTAAATTTTGTTAATTTAAACCAAAAAAAAAGGCTCTTGAAATTACTATGTTTGAATTTATTTAGAATTATGAAAAATTAAATATAAAATCTTTGAACTGGTTCTAAAGAACATTTTTTATTCAAAAGAAATTTGAAAAATAAGTACAATATTCATATAAATCTTCTAGAATTTTGCTCTTTTTTTTATAATAAAACAATATAAAAATAATATTCAATTTTTATATTAATTTCGCTAATAAAAATTTGATTATAGTAATTTGATTAATGTATTTACGTAACATAGTTTTGATTATATAGTTGATGTTTCACTCTAGTAATTGTTATAAAAACATAACAATAAATAATTATATCTTGCTGAAGATTGAGTCCGAATGTTATATACTTGAAGGTCAATGCATGATTTCTTGTAAGTATAGTACTTATGTTTAAATGTACATATAAATAACCCAATCAAAATACTTTTAACATTACAGTTTAATACCAGCTACATGTAAATTTGTTCTCAATTAGTTGTCATTAGCTTATCTTATTGTGCTAACTATTACATATTTTAAGAGTATTTATGAGTTAATTAAATGTTATTGCAGAAGTATAAAATATATATATACATTTAAGCTACCTTTTATATAGCTTTTTTATAATGAAATCTAATTCTACCATCTGCATTTTTACAAAATGTAAATTTATTGTCATTTTCTTGAATGTAAAGCTTACCAAATTTTATGTTCTTATTCAAATAAAGTTTATCAATAAATTCTTCAAGTTTTTCACAATATTTTAAAAAATTATCTAAATATGATAAATCATAGTCTTTACTTTCAAAATCAATTGAAACTTCTGCTTGTACTGGTTTAAACCCAACTTTTTCAAAAATTCTCCATAAAGTGATATTTTTAGGCCTGACTGTTGTGTAAAATTGTTCTAATTCTTTGTCATTAAATTGAAAGATTTTTTGTATCTTTTGATTATTTTGTTTGTCAAGATTTTCTCCTAAGCCAATTCTATATACTTCTGGGCCCTACTTATTAACCATCTTACTTAATACTAAGTACCTGATCCTTTTATCCTAATATTTCTGAGACAATGCATAGACTATTTCAGATTTGCCTTTTTTTTAGGTTTAGATAGTATAAATCCTATGAAATTATTTTGTTCATCAAGAATGGTAAGTGTGCATTTTGGTTGTCCGATTTGATATTCATTATTTACTCTAAACTTAATTTCCTTGCTACTTAATTTTCTTTCTTAATACATATATTTCATAATATTTATATTGAATAATAAATGTTCATAATTTGGTATATCATGCTTCTAAATTTCTCAAGCAGTCTATTCTTTATTATTTTTATCAACACCATTAAGACATACTAATATCATATCATTATCTGAAAATTTAAAAATTGATCTTGTCATACTTTGTAAGTATTCTATTGAAGTTTTTAAAGAAATTTAAACTATAAATTTGATTTTTTTGCAGATCTCTAAACATGAATATATAAGAATTCCAATACTGTTATCTACAATTAACAAATTAAAATAGTGGAAAACCTACAAAATAATAATTAAATTATTTTATTGATAAATTAATTTGACTAATTAGAATTTTATATTTACTTTCTATGGCATAATTAAGTATTGTAAAAAGTATGATAATTAGCATTGCTCCTCATAGAGATTTAATTATTTCAATTAAAATAGAATAATTTAGTAATTGTAATTTTTGAAAGAGAATCTAATATTGTCTAAAATTATTTAAATTATGGATATATAACTTATATTTAATGATGCAAGAATATTCGAATAACCAAATCAACAGTTTTTTAAAATTACTTTATATTTTTTTTGAGCAAAATGCACACCTAATTGCTAAAGATGAGAAACATCAATATATTTGCACAAGATGCAAATATAAATTAATAAGATGCATAAGAAGCAAAATGAATGAAGCTATTTTTCCAACAAAATTAGCATTCTATTGCAAAATATGTGATCGTGATTTGTTTAAGAGAGCATAATATTAAACAGCATAATAAAGCAAAACATGATATGTAAGAAAAATAAATAAGTGATTAGTTAATTTTATTTAAAAATATTTAATTATATATATATATTACTGAAATAATCTGCTAGATCTAATATATTACATTTCAAAAAAAATCTTAAGCTGAATACTGATAAAAGTTTAATTCTCTTACACAAATTTATACATATAATATTTTTTCTTAGGAATCTTGTATCATTAGCTCTTAATAATCACTTGCATTGTAAAACTAAATTGTATTGATTATGTAGACTTCAATAAAGTACATAGCTTTTATTTAGCAAATAAAAATTGAGCTATAATATTTTTTAAAGAAGTTATTATTAAAGATAATTGTTCAATTAGCTGGATATTAAAAATAATTCAATTTCTCAATGCAGTAAATTTTTATATACCATTATTTTTTAAATGATTCATTAAAATAATTGTTATAAGAAACTATTGAATTTGTTAGATAAAAAATAGAATTCTTGAAGCAAATGTATTATGCACAACTCTTCACAGTTTCAAGAAAATTTTTTGGATAATATGTAAACAAATTTTAATTACTTGTTATTATTCAATTACAGTAATCATAGAATCTAACAAATTGAAAATAATAGAAGATGATAATTATTGCATGATAAAATTTTCTAGAGTCACTTGGTATTAAATTTTATTTTACAAGAATCAGGTGAAAAACAACATTTTCATACTCAAAACTAGTTAATTTATCATATAATTCCTATACATTGATTAAAGAAGCGATCAAGCAATTAATAAATCTTCTATTTGTTCAAACTGCAAAATTAATAATTAGAATTAAGATTAAAAATATAAAACTTGTTTATGAAAAAATTTTGATAAAATAATTTCAAATATTTGATTCAAAATTTGATTTGTTTTGCGAAGTACTAAATTATTTGGCTACTTACTATTTTATAGCGGATATTTTAACCATATATAATCACACTTAGTAGTTTAGTTTTTAACCATTTTGCATACATAAAGTTTACATAAACAAGTTAAATATTTAAAGAGAATTATATCATTATTTTTTTATCATTAATAACTGAATGTAATATTCAAATAGTGATCAAATCCAGTGAAAAATAAAAGTAAGATATTAAAACCATTCAAATGAGTCAAAAATTATATATTTTGGATGCTTTACAAATAAATAGAATTATTTACAAGTTATATATATTATTGAACTATCTATACTCCTACAAAAAAATTAAATATTTTATATAAGTTGTTATATTCAAATAGGGATCAGATTAGTGATGTCTGATGAAATGATGAAACCTGATAAAACCATATACTGTAGTTTCGTCAATTCCTTAATTAATAAACCTTACAGTTTTGTCATTTCATCAGGCATTACTAGGTTCAATAAAAATGATAAAAACTTTTAATAATTATTTCTTAGTTGATATATTTAGTACTTTACAAATAAATAAGGTAGTTTTTTTACAAGTTTATGAATATACTGCACAATGTGCTCTAAATTATTAATTGAAAGAGTACTGAAAGACTTTTAAGTAATTTTTGTTTTCTTGTTTTATATTTAAGTTTTTGGATTTGAATTGCATTTTTAGCTTTTCAGACTGTAACTTGTAACACACTTTTTCAGATTCTGGCAGTTTATTCCATTCATTCCTAGTGATTTTTGAGATTTGACAGATGTCCATACTTGGATTATTTTTTATTTTTTCTTTTTAATATAACATAAAGATGTTTAATGGACATTTAATAAGATTGAAAATCAATGCTGGAACATGTATATTTAGTTCTGAAAATTTCTTGATTGTTTTTAATTTTTTTGTAGCATCTTCATAAATAAGAAATGGTAAATATCCTTGTAGAATAAAAATGAATATTCCATTATTATGTCCAATATTCTAAAAACTATCAGATTCTTTAATTGAAACAAAATTATTAGAATTTATTTTATATATATTTTCTTTTTAAAAAATGCTTATTAATAGTTTCAGATGTATTGTTGAATATAGAATTAGTCATAAATTGTATTGTTATCACTTCTTTTGATCTTTTCTTACCATACACTTTCTAGAATAAAAATAAATTTGGTTTGCTATTAAAGCTCTATATAATAAAAGCTAAAATTAAAAAATTTATTAACAAATTCTATTACAGTAAGTTTATCACAATCTATAATAATGCATGTCACTAAACTACATTAAAATTATAGACCTTTTAATTTAATCAATGAATTGATTTTTTGCTTTTATAATTTATGACCCAAATATTAAAATCTGGCATTTCATATGTTTCATACTTTTTATTATTAACAAGTTGAATGATAAATAAATCATTATCTAATTTTTTTGTTTGTTGTGAGATAATCCATAATAGAGCTTCATATAATGGATTTTTTTTTTAAGTACTATAAATACATGGAGATTTTAATAGTCTGAGATTTAAATTTTTTTTTTAATCTATTTGCAAAAAAATGACACTGTAACCTAAATTTAATATAATATTCAATTTGAACAATTAATAAATTTTGGAATTGAAATATCTGCAATAAAGAGCAAGACATACAGTGATTATTCTTGAAAAATATGGCTCAAGTTTTGAAGAAAGCTATGCCAATAAAACTGCTTGTAGTTGTTCTTGAGAGAACAGATCAAGAAAAGGTCTAAAAATCTTCTTGAGATTTTAACTTATTCTAAGAGTATAATATAATAAAATAATTTGATTTAATCACAAAAATTTTAATGTATTATTTTTTGAATTTAACTGGCTATATTTTTTTAAGTGTTGCCATTAGAATGAAAATTTGATATGTTTATATAGATTTTAATTCTTAAGTTATATTTTAAAATTGAGCTACAAGTTTTAGCATTAGCTGTGACACTGATTAGAATTGATTCAATCTGTTTTTGATGATATATTTGATATGTATTACAAAATTTGGAATTCAGTTAATTAAATTTTTTTTCAATTGTAATTACAATAGCAATTAAAAGTACAGTATATAAACTAATTAAAGATTTATTCAATACAACTTTTAAAGTATTCATTATTCAATCTTGTATTGATATTAATACTGAAAATTAAACTTTAATTATGTACTAACAATTTTTAAATTCTATTAATTAAGCAATTTATGTTTTAAAAATCATAACCAAAAAAGAAAAAATTCATTTAGAGAAGCATTTTCATTCTTTAATTATAATTATTAGAAAGTAGTAATTTTAGAAACAATTTGTTTAACATCAAAATTGATTTAGATGTAAAATTAGAGCAAAAATAATTAATTTATTTTATTCTTATAAACTAAGTTACAAATTTAATACTGCATAAAAATTTTAATTAGTAATACTCATCGATATATAAGATAATGAATTGCATAGTAACACTTATTAAGCTGATAAAAAACTTATTTTTGTTAGATTTATTAGTGTTAGATTAAATTAATAAATTAAAAATTGAGCAGCAGGAGGGGCGAGCAGACTTAATGTGTAAAAAAAAATACTACTGGATCATTCTCATGGGCCCTATGGGGTTCACTATCATATATAAAAAATATATTATTTTTTGCTACTCTACTTGACTTTAGAATTAGATTAGAAGCTCTATAATCATGATGTAAATTTTTATATATCAAAAATCTACTCTAATGCCTTCTATTTATTAAGTTTACTAATTTGTTTTCTTGCCTACCTGAAGTCTTATTAATCTCAAGGAAAGTAATTTCTTTTCTTGCCTATCTAAAGCCTTGTTAAGCTTAAGAATATAGGTTTGTTCAATACTCTACTCGACTTTAAAATTGGGTTAGAAGGCTTATATTGTGGTGTATTTTTTTTATATCTAGAATGTTTTCTAACTCCCTCTTACTCATTAAGATTGTTAATTTGAATCCTTACCTACCTGAAGTCTTCTTAACCTTAAGGAAAGTAATATATTTTCTTATCTATTTAAAGTTTTGTTAATCTTAAAAACGTAAATTTATCTTCTTATATATCCAAAGCATTGTTAATCTTAAAAACACTATTTCATTAGCAAAAAACAGATAAAAAAAGAAAGCAGGCAGACTGGGTATATAAAAAAATTATATCTGCAGAACACCTTGACATGCTATTGGGGTCACTATCAGAGCACCTTGGTGGATTATTGCAAAAAGGCATTAGCTCTATCCTGAAGCCTATTAATATATTAGGTTACATAGCAACACTAGCATGTTTTTTGCAAAGACCAGGTTCAGAGCTAGTCAGCTTGCTACAACCTTGAAAAAGACGCTTGAACTTGCTCTCCTGCTTCTTCGGCTCTGTTCGCTGACAGCTCTAAAAGCAATTCATCGATTTTTATTCGAATAAAAGCATCTCACCTTTAGGTGTAAAAAAAAAACAGATAGCATAATGTAAAAAAAATGGCTAGCAAGATGTAAATAAAAAATTATCAGCCAAAATAATCTAGTTTTACTAATCTCCAAAGAGGTCAATACCCATATTCTCACCATCTGAATCAATCAGAGCTTTAGAAATATTACCAGAGGTAATGATTCTGGATTGAAAGATCGTAACCTCATTACCAGGCTTGAAAATTGGAGCTTCATCTTCAGTATCTTCTGATTCTTTGCTCATGATTGGAGCAATAGTGCTGGTCATCTGTAGTGCTTCGATCTGTAGACCTTGCTTTCCTGCTTCTTCAGTTTTGTTCGCTAACAGCTCTAGAAGTAATTCATCAATTTTCATTCAGATTAAATCATCAGCATTAGCTTTATTTCAAAGCCTATTAAAATATTGGGTCACATAATAGGTACCAGAATGCTTTCTACAAAGGCTGGGTTCAGAGCTAGTCGGCTTACTGCAAACCTTACAAGGAATGCGAGGTTTAGCTTTCCAATGTTCAAAGCAACCTTCTGGCCGATGGCAGGTTCACCCACAAACCCATCTAGTTCTAAGTAAATAGTTGCAAAAATATTCGCCTTGCATAGTAATAAGAAATAAATATTTTATTTTAAACTAAAGTTTTCACTATATTAATACAAATAATATTCAATACTTATACAAAATAGTTAACTACAAAAATATCGAAACAGCTTTAGTTGAAGTAATTAAAGTAGCATATAGTCAAGGTACCAAAAAATATGACAAATTAGGAGTGATGTATATAAACTATCTTAAAACCTTACAACGAAAAAGAGATCCAGAAGATCATATTAGATATGTTGCAAAGCAGCAAGTTCCAAATGAGAACATCTATAATGAAAGAATGGCAGACTTCAAAGATTGGTATAATGAAGAAGTATATACTAGTCTTGAAAATTTATATAAGTTGTATTTCGAATTAGCTAGTCAGGAAGAAGTTGTAGAAAAAAGATCCAAAGAAGAAGTAGATAATATTCTTTAAAGAATTCACGGTTTAGAAATTTAATATTGTTTAAGAATCCATTTAGGTGGATACACAACTTTACCAACTTTCATCAATTGTTCTCTTACGAATGATCTTTCAGGACCATCTTCATTTTCATCTATAAGTCAGTATAACACTGGTTGATTTTTTTGTATTAATGATTCTTTAATGTAATAAACCTTTGGAGACCAATTCATATCAGTTATGTGTCTTCTGCCAAATTCTAATTCTTCCGGTTCGAGTAAATATAAAACTGAATCTTTATAGGTTAACTAAGGTTCATCAAATCCAATAGGTCTACGATGTTTTACAGATGGATCAGCAATTATTTTTTTACCTTTTAAAGCTTTTTTTACAGCTTCATTAGGAGACATATGAATTAATCAGGTAGGAGTATCATTATAAATATCATCATTAATACAAAGACCTTTAACACAAGATCAACATCTCTCAAATAATGGTAAATGAAAATCTACAGCATCTTGATGAATATAGGCATGTTTCTCAAATTCTTGATGATCACGTTCAGCTATTGATGTACTATATTTAGATTTAGCTTGTATAATTTTTACACTATGACTAAGTAATAAATCTCTATACTCACCTAGATATTCAGTGCCTTTATTTACAATTAAAACTTTTGGCCATGTAAGATGATTATTAGGATCTTTATAAATTGCTTTAAACATTTTAGCTAATGATACAGAAGACTTATTAGTTAAAGTACAACTTTTATGAAATCTAGTCGCTACATCTTTTATAACACCCCTATGCTTGAAAATTCAATTACCAATTTTATCATGAGAAAGAGGTGTAAGATCTGATTTATGTACTTCATTTAAATCTCGTATGCCATTAAAAGATGCATATTGAATAAATTTGGTCGAGGTTTATAAACTAAAAAAGTTATCTGTTCATTTAACCAGTTTTTTATATCTGCTAATAAAAAATTATGACCAGCATTTCTACAAGCAATGTGCATTTTTTCAGCAGTCTGATAGTAACCTTCAGGCTTATAATATAGTTTTTGCAATATGATCTCTATATCCAAATCATGGGCCTTCTGTGGGTCAATAAAAATTACAGGTTTTTCCATTTCCTACCAATTTATTTTTCTTATTGTCAGGATTATATAGTATAATAAAAAATAGTTAACAATATATATCTGAGCACAAACTTGTGAGTGGATAGCATTATAGTCAATAAAAAACAATGGACGAGTTATAACAAACCAACCAAGAACTTTATGAAGTAGTATTACAATTAGCGGAATCAAATAGGAATTTTAAACAATGTCTATATACCTTAGAAAGGGCTATAGATATACAGAAAGAGAGAATACAATTTCTTAAAAAAGAGTTAAATAATGCTATCAAACTCTCTACACAAGAGAAAGAAGAATTAATAGAAGAAATTTCAAAATTAAAAAGAATCGTTCACTAACTCAAGGAAGAAAATAAAAAGAAAGACAAAGAAATTTCTAATAAAGATAGATTAATATCAGAATTCGATAAATGTGAAACAAAATTAAAAACCAGAATACGAGAGATATCTAAATCAGCTGGAAATACACCTAAAGCACAAGATTATACAACCAGATTAGTAGATGAAAATGAACACCTTAAATGAGAAATAAATACAATAAGGGTTAATCAAATAAATAGGATTAATAAAATAAATCAGCAAAAAAATCATATTACAGACCTGCTTTGTCAAAATTTTGCATTAGCATTATTAAGATATCGAGATAGATTAGAGCTTATAAATACATGAGAGGTATTAGAAATTGCACAAGCATGGAATTATAATGAAGATGAATCTAATTCTGATGAAAATTCTCAAGATAATTATACTTTTGATTTAGATATAAGCACAATAGCTGAATTGGCTAATGCTATAGACAGATCCTTAAATAATATAGCAATATGTAGAACTGTTTTAACAAATCAAATTAAAAGATCAACAAGATCAATCTAACATAAATACACTAACCTACAACAAGATCTGGTAAATGTATGATGAGACTGAGATACGTACAGACAGGAGCGAGATCAGACATTGCTTGATCTTCAGCAGTTGTGAACTAATGCTCAAAATTAAGTAAACAGAATGTTAGACAATATAACAGGAAAGTAAACCCGTATTGGTGTATTACTACAGGAAAAATTTGCCTTTCAATTACTATATCTGCAAAAGGCTCACCATCTAAAGCGATGCAGGGGGGATAGAGATTTGCTAGAATATAATCGAGATAGATTATATGAACAATATGAGAAGTGGAAAAATAAGACCCATACAGAGCTCCAAAATATTTTAAATTTAAATCAACAAATTTTGATGCTTTATAATAATCCATCAAATCAAATAAACATGGCTAATACTAGACGTTTACTGGTATTAAAATTAATAGCTCCTGCTCTTGCAAAATTTCCACCTTATACAGGCCAAGAACTACTTGATAATTACTTGAATAAAGTTATTCAATCATGGGCATATCTTGAAGGGCATATAACAGTTCTTGAGAATGCAAATGCAGGAAATTTTGACAATGCAATCAAGTGTAATATTTTAAAATCTATGATGGGTGGAAAATATGTTCCAGTACTAGCAAATAATAATCTTGAAGTAGGAAATCTAGCTATAAATTTTCCAGATATATTACAGGCTTGGATGAGAGCAAAATACCAATAGAAGACAGTTGGAAATCAGCAATCAGCTATACAAAGATTGACTCAAGAAAAATACCAACCTTATGATACTCCAGATACTTATGAAGCTAGAGTTCGACCACTATTATTAGGAGTGGCAGACAACAACGTGCAAGTTATAGAATTCCTTAAAAGTCACTTAATGGGTGATTTTTACACTTGGATGAGAATAGCTAATTCAGCAGGCATTAATGCATTTTTTACTGAACTAAAAAACATGTGACTGGAGCATGCACCAAATTTGAATGGTCAAGTTTCTCAACAATCTTCCTATAACACCAAAATAATAGAAGCTCCTATAATTCTGCAATCAGTATTTCCTATACCTAATACACAAAAAATGATTGATGAGGTATTAGCGAAACAAAAATCCAATTATGATGCTGAAATAGAAAAATTAAGAAAGGAAGTTCAATCATCAAAAGCACAGAAAACACAGACACCAGTTTTACAAACCGTTTAACCAGTTAGACAACCAAGAGCCCCTCTATCAAATTTAATTACGAAAGAAGATTATAAAACTTATTAGTTAGATAAATATTTAAATGATTTAGATATATATAGTAAAGAAGATTTAGATTCAAATTATTTTAAAAAACCTTTTCAAAGATCTCGTCTATAGCAAAAAGATAACTCTACGAGATTAGAGGAGAAAGTAGATAAAATTGGGCATATGTTATCTCATCTTAATATAAACAATCAACCCAAAAAACCAATAGCCAAATCAAATTGAACACAATGATATTATTCTTTTCAACCAATAAATTATAACTTTTCAGCTAATAATGAAAATAGTAGATATAATAAAGAAAATGATATATGGTATGATGATGTTCTGAAAAAAAAAATGAGTACCAGTAAATAAAAACTTACCTGGTAACTCTGCTAACTCTTCTTCTGATCTAGCAACTATCCACCCCGAAACATATGATCAGTTATTGTCTAAGCTTTCACCAGCAATGCAAAAAATGTGTCAGTCTCATACAGTTCAGAAAAAAGAATCAGATAAGTGGTTTTCATCTCTACAATACCTAAATGCTAGTATAAATGATTTATCTATTTCTGAATCATTTTTAGATAATGAAAGTGAATTCGGAGCCTTGAATGATGCAACAATTAATGCTCTCGGATGGAAAGCTGACAAGCCATCTGACTTTGATATAAAAGGTAACTCTAAACATATCACTAAATCATTGGGATGGTTTACAGATATGCCAGTTAGTATAAAAGATAAGAATGGTAAAACTGTTACAGCTACTGGAAATTTTACACATATTGATAATGGTGAACCTAAACCAATGTTATGTTTAGGTATGACATGGATTCGAAAAGTTCAAGATATTCTTGATCCGAATAAAAACCAATTCCAAATGAAATTACATGGTAGGTCTTTTATTATCCCAACTTTTAGCAAGACTCCAGAAGTTTCACAAAGTAAGAATGCTATCATATCTAAGGATCTGGTCCAAGTATCTACTATCTCATCTAGCTCGACTAGTAAGAAAAACTTAAAAAAAAATGTGATGAACTTGAAAAATGAGTCATGATAACTGAAGAATAGCTTGATATAGCTTTAAAAGCAGGTAAAGTTCTTGCTAAAAGATGTTCTCAGCTTACTGAGACAAAGATGGGAGCATAGGAGCTAATCTTTTAGTATTTTTCATTAATTTTTCAAGATCAGCCTTTCTCTTAGATGTATTGTCTATAGAAGAGGTACTTTTTTTTATTGCACATGAGGAAGTAGAACTTTGAATCTTTAGTCATCCCATCTCTGCTAATTTATCTAATAAAACTTCAGAGTGGTTCACATTAGTCGAGAGGCTAGCTTTACAGCTATTTATATTAGATGAATTATTGCTAAAGCCTGGTACTTCATGGCTAGATATATTATTTATTTCATATAATTGAGATATAGGTTGATCCCAAGTGACCCTATTATCTTCTTCTTCTCTCCAGATCTGATAAATCCATTTTGACGATGTTTTATATTTATTTAATAATTCCTTTAACATTTTGTATCTTGGCTTTATATTACAACATTGCATTATATATAAATAATCTTCAGCTGAAAACAAAGGTGCATCAGATTTTATATGTACTCTAACCATACTAATAAGTGTAATTACTTTGTTTTTTATCTAATAAAATATATCGAAAAAATAAAAATTATAAAATATATCAGAAAAATAGAATACATCAAATATATAGGATTATATTATTTAATTAATACATATATTCTATCTAATACATTAAAATTATCACATTAATAAATATATATATTCTATTTAATATATTATATTTATTTTTTATATTTATTTCAATAATATAGCAATAAAGCTAGTGTTAAAACACTTATGCGTCGAATTTATACATTGTCAGATATAGGTGAAGGCAGTAAATTAGGTGACATACCATTTAGTCGATATCTGCCTAGTCAAACAGAACTTGAAAATCAGCTTGCTTGTGCAAATCGAGATCGAGAAATTGCTATAGAGTGTGGCAATCAACTTGCCAATAAATGTTCTATCTTAGATAAAGACAATAAGTATATACAATGTGATCTAAAACAATCTAATAATGATAAAGAGAAACTCTTCAAGCATACCTACCAGCTTATAAATGAGGTTAAGTGATTGAGTTCAGAGTTAGATACTTTAACATCTCAAATTAACTAATTACAGATTTCCAATACTAAATATGGAGCCAAGGATATCATTCGATTGAAAAAAATAAAATCACTCCAGTCAATAAACAAAATATTAAAAAGTAAGTTAGTGTCAGCTCAGAAGGATGCATTCTCAACTCAGAAAGAGATAGTAAAAAAAAAATCTGAGAACATATCTCTCAAGTTTGAATTAACGAATATAAAGAATGAACTAATGAATACAAAAGATAAATTAGCTTCAAAAATTAAAAAAATTGAGTATTTAGTCGCTTTACGCTCTGTTTTACAGAAAACAAAGGATATATTAGATCTTGTAGAGTTAAAGACTCATTGCTTTGCAATAGTTATGAGAGGTAAGGAAAAAAATATGCAAAGTAAGGAACAAAGTTTCATATCGAATTCTAAAGATACATCTGAATCTAGACCCAAAGGGTCATTGTTTTGCAGGCTCTTTAAGGGTGACTCTTTGAGTCATAAAAGTCTTGCAAAATATTTTAAAAGTAAAACATTACCAATTATCACAAATAATCAGAATTTAGAATTATTGATTCAAGATATTACAAATAAGCAGAATCTGGAGTCATTGATTCAAGATATTACAAATAAGCAGAATCTGGAGTCTTTGATTCAAGATATTACAATAAAAGAGACAGTATGCACTGGCAAGGCTTTAGTTAATGATAAGTATCAGATTTCTCTTTTTATTAAAATTGTCATTATTGTAATAATAGTGATATTAATTATTTAGTATATATATAGGAATATTTTTCATCCACTCCCGCCTTCTTATTCTTTGAACTCGAAGCCAGATTATAGCTACTGTATGACCACCTCCAACAATTTGTTTTCTGGAATATACTCACAGAGTAAGGGCACTAATGTGTCTAAACTGACTATAAACAAACAAAGTAAAGTGAATTATTAAGGGAAAGAAATTTTTTATCCAGTTTATAGAAATTATAGATATGAATTCCCAAGAAGCAGTGCTTCGAGTTCCCAACTCATCTGATATACAAAAAAATTAAAAGAAAGAACTATTGCAAAACAAGCCTGAAGGGTGAATCAAGAATTATGGCTCATCGAGCTTATTTTCAAAGAAAATGAGTTTTACTCTACCACCTATAAAACTTTATCTTATGGATATAGATGAAGCTAATAAACATGAATCAATTCGAAATGTTGAACATCCAGCAATATCATGGCCTTTCAGTAAAGTATTTACTAGTATGAGTGATAAAGGTAAGACAAATATAGTTGGAAATCTTGTTCTGGGAGATAAAGCTAAAAATATATACAAAGGTAAAAAAGGAGAATCCCAATATATTAAGTGTGATGATTTGATAGTTTGTAGATTTTATCCAGATGAGCCAAAATGGGCATTTGTTAGATATATATATGGAGTAATCGCAGGTAATCCTAAAGCATCTTACTATGAAAATATAAGATTTAAATATATCTCACCTGAAAAAATTCCTAGTGTAAAATCATTTTTTCTAGAGAGGAGTACTGTAATTATTTTTGAGGATTTATGTGTAGCCTCTGAGTCCATCCAAAACTGAATTATTCCATTCTTCACACATAGGCATCATCAGAATATTAGTTCAATTTACATAATGCAAAAATATCATCATGTCTTGATAATTATTCGTGAAAATCTTACCCACTTAGTTATATTTAATGGAGGCAGTAGTTATCAGGATGTGTCCAAAATAATTGGACGATATACTGATGATGGTAAGAATGCATCAATGGTTATTAATAATTATCTTCAAAAAAATGAATTTATTGTATTTGATCTTACTAGGTCAGAGGATGATCCATTAGCAATTCGTTTAAGATTCGATACTCCACTGGATTTGCAGAAAGAGATAGAGTTACGTCAAAAGCACAAGATAAAAAATGCATTGCCAGCTGAGCCCACGAATTCTGAACTCAAAAAAACTGAAAAATCGAATAAATAATATAATTAAGAAATTGATTAAATACTATGCTTCTATTTCTAAAAGTTGCTTTCAGAATCTAACCTGCAATTGACTCTTTTTAGAATCTATCCAATTAACCAGAATATAATATTCTTTATATTGACTATTAATAATGAAACTGCACATCATGGGATTGTTTTTATATAATTCAATCTATTTAGTATGCTATTGATTAAATTGTTCTCAAGTCTGAGAATTTTTTACTTTATGTCGAGTTAAACCTATAAATTTCTTATTATCCGGAGTATTATTATTTGCTAAGCTATTCCAAGCGAGTCATGCATTTGATGGCTCTCTTTCTTAAAATTGTCTCCAAACATTTTGAATAATTCTTGCCAAACCATCTCTAGTTTTTGGTTTATTACAATCATGATCCCAATGTTTTTGCATTAGGTCTTTAGGTTCGAGAATTTCTACATATCTACCTATAGTGTGATGAAATTTTTTTTTTAGCTTCACATCATTAACCTGAATAAGCTTCATACAATTGAGACAAATTGCCATACGAGTTTTATGAATTCTAGGTCAGTAGTAATCATGATCTACAAATTTACCCTTACTGAATGCTAAAAATAGAGCATGTACATAGTATATACTCCTCTTTCTCTCAGAAACTAGCTTTTGTAAAGGAATTCAAACTCTGAGTGCCCATTGCTATGGAGTTTCATTAGGCTGAATAACTGATAAAGTATCATATTGTCTTTCAGTCTCAAAGAGTTCTTCAAAGAATTGTTGATAATCATTAATACTATAATAATTCAGAATATATGAGTTGACATATTTCATATCGTATTCTGGTCTATTATTAATAAGTTTTTGTGATTTAGCTTTTTTATCAAGGATGACTGAAATACTGATGTTTGCTATATTTAATAATATATAGTGATTTAAGGACCTATAATGATTATAAGACTTATAATATATTATGTGATTTTATCAACTTTATACATAGTATAATTTCGATTCAAATTTTGTGTATTTGAAGCCAATATAAAATGGCAAAATTATGTGAAAAATATCCCAATACATAAGCTTTGAGTCAGAGGCAAAAAGTTAGTTAGAATATTACTCAATTACATTATATTTGATTATATTACAATCTAATGCTAATTATTTTTGTATTTCACTAATAAACCTCTTCTCGTGGGTTCAAGATCTTAAATAAGTAGAAGCAAACATAAATATTGAGTTTGAAGAATGATCACATAGAATTTTTAACATAGCAATTATACTTACTAAGATAGCTTCATCTTAAATTTTTAATTTTTGGTAATTGAAAACCTGACTTTAAAAATTTAGAATGCTTCCTATCCCATATTACAAGCTTTTTTGATGTCTTTGCTTTTTTATTATTATCATCAATACCTACTTCCATATTATCTTCCAAATCTAAATTGCTAAATAAGAGCCGAATTTTCTATTTTGCTTGATCATTGTTGAATGAACGAAAAAAACGACACTATGTCATACATCAGAAAGAACTGGTAGATTTTCATGAATCAGGATATTGGATCGGAAGGCAACTATCTGGCCCTGTTTAACATGAAAAGCTAATTTAAGTTCAGGAAATACCAATTGCCTACCCTCAAATACTCCAAGTGGGCACACTACACAAAGTGAATTGCAGTGGTTTTTTAGATCCTGATGGAATTGGCAAATAGCATTAAAGTTAATTGCCATAGTAGAGAAGATCCCAAATGATTTAGGAACATTTGGACCAAGATCCAATCTTTTTATCTTTGCATATAAGGTTGGATATACTACCTGAAAATAATTATTAATGGCATTGGATAACGGTTGGAGGCCTTGGATTAGATCATTAACACATTTTCGATAATTTTGGTGGTGTGAGAATGCCATATTTGCCATAGTATATGGTTCATTATTGCTACTCGTGAAAGCACCAAAAGTCTCTATCATTTGTTTAGCAAATTCTTTAGATTGGTGTAGTGGGTTATGGCAAGTGTGCTGATAATAATGATCTACTACTGCTTTGGCATTATCTGCTACTACAGGATTTGGAAGAGTATAAAAATCTACTATCATTTTACCCAATGTATTTTTAGAACATTGAGGCTTGAGGACATGTCTATATCCACTAAGGTTAATGCCACATATAACTTTTTTTGTTGTTTCGTCTGCAAGATTAAGCTTTTCTTTTGAGTTTTGTTGAAATGTCTTAGGAATAACATAATGCTCTAGAGGTTTTTTCTGAGCCTCTGTCTGCTGATTATGTGCATGTAATATTTTTGCCCAAAGGTGATGACAATGCCCTCTAAACTGTTTGTAGTAAGTTTTAAAGGTTGTAAAGTGTACCTATCTTGCAAATTCCATCTATTGTTTACATGTTGAATTGGTATTAAAAATATTATTAGAATACAATTTATTAAAAATCTCTAACTTTAGTAAGTTTAGAAATTCTGTAGGTACTTCGGAATAGGATGGAATTGATTGGACACTTTGGGATGATAAAATTTTATCTATTACCAGTTTTGTATTAATATAAAGTTGATCCTCTCTTTGCCATTTCTTTTCTAAAAGCTTCTTAAAAAATGTGAATTTTGGACTCATAAATACAGAAGATTGTGAATAATTAGTCAATTTAAGATCTCTCACCAGAAAATCTTCAGATGTTCACAGATATTAGATATATTCTTGAGATTGCTCCTTTGTGGACAGATGTGTTATTCCTTGGGTTTTATGCTTAACCAAAATAAAAAAATAAGTTAGTTTATGATGAAAAAATAATAGATGGTTCTAAAAAAATATCCATTCGTCCAAGTAGATACATTTATATCATTCTATATAGTGTAGCCTGGTGGTTTAAAACCTGGGAAGTCTGTTGGACCTTCCTTACCTTGCATATGCCCCACATAGAAGAATGTCGATCATGCCTTAGAAACTATGAAAGATAGAATACCTTATCGAAATATATGCTTATATAAAAAGTCAATTAGCTTACTTTCTGAGGATCATAAAATATGTTTTAGCATTGTAACTGGGATCCTCTTCAACAATCAAATGGTCTGGGTCTTCGACTTTGGCCTTTTTTATAATATGTAGTTCTTTTTTATGTAAGTTCCTTTTGGAGGCCTTCGATAATAAAACATTTGGCGATGACATAGTGATAATATGATAAGTAATTTTATAAAAATAAAAAAAGGACAAGATGTTCTTTTGAAAACTAACAAATTCGGAACAGAACTTTGTAGTGAAGATGATCCTTTTATTATAAATTTCAGTACATAAGATTTTTGACACGAAGCAGTATATATGATATAAATAACTCAGTATTACGATAATTCAACACGAGTCAACTAACAATTCTTATTCTGCGCCATAATAATTTAACATGACAATTCTATGCTAACAAACAATTACATATTTACTATATTTGGCATTACAATTATTAAACATGCCAACAATCGCACATTTTCTATATTTGGGATTAGATCGTTAATAACTAGTTAAACAGGTATAGTTATATGGGATATGATAAGAATTTTACACACTATTTAAGTTCATTTTACAAATTTAGAATAACTGTTAGCTGTATAACAAACATGTTGATCAAACATCTAGCATCACTAGGGTATCTGTACTGGAAAAAATAAAGCATATATGTATTGTGTTACATTGTATAATGCAAGTTAACGGACCTGTGTGATCACTTTTATTTTGGTCTAGGTCAAAGCTAAAATAGCGATTTTTTTTTCCTCAAGTATTGTGAGAAGGCAGGTTTGAATAAGTGATAAAACCTTGACTGGCTTTAATAATCAATGGCCTGCATTAAACTTTATGTGGTGTTACCTTAACTTCTCACAGTCGATTTTTGATAATAAATATCTAGAAAGCTTTTTCTTATTATATATAATACTGCGATAAGAAAAAGCACAAATGGAACTTAAAAGGGCTATAATAGAGAAGAGTACAACTTTCTTTATCAGTAGTTTTATCGAAATTCATATATTACTAGGACTTGGAATCTCCACCATTCCCAGATCTTCAACTTTTTTTCACTTCATAGTAGCGATCGTCAAATCTAAGGGGGTTTAATTTTATCTAAAAAACAACGAAATGGATTCAGTATTTGGAACTTATAGCCAAATGGGGTTGCTTTATGTGGCTGGATCTGGTATTGTGTTAGGGTAATGCAATTACTAATTATGTAACTTTTTTTTCTAATAGGTTTCTTAGATCTAGCAAATAGACAGTATAAAAATAAGTGATTTTTTTGTTTCTTGTAGGTAGGTTATAATAATATTTTTTGCTCGTATATGATTTTTTTACTCAATCATAATTTATTTTTAAAGTAATGTCATTTTATCTAACGGTGACTATGAAACTGAATTTTTACTTATTATATTTTTTTTATTTAGGACGAATAAATGAGCAATAAAAAAACTGCCACCACCAAGACTAATGACACCATCACCAATGACACCATCACTAATGATAATAACGCCACTACAAGTAATAACACTACCATTTCCATGACTAATGACAATAACCCCTTCGAGACCTATTATGCCCTCCCAACACCACCTAATCCAAGACCTAGCCAAAGGACATCTAATTCCAATTGTTAACGTAGAAGTAGGAGAAACTGATATGGCAAGTAAAATTCCGCTAAAGTTAAAGGCAATTAAGTATATTAATGTAACTTTTAGTAAAACTGGAAAAATATAATTTATCACATTAATTTAGATGATTCGACCTATGACCCCAGAAAAGATGATAACTATAACATTAATGAAGACAAACCCTTGGATAATTTTTCTGAAGAATATTCAAAATGGTGTGAGGAAAATGATTCCAATGAGTATAAGAATCCTGAACCACGACAAGAAAGGCTAAATCAAAATTAATAAATAGTTCATATTTTTGTCTGCAGTATGCAACTGTAGTGTATTTTTTTTATTTGTATACCATTTCAGCAATTTTTTTATGAAATAAAAAAGAGTTCAGTGGGCTCGCCATTTTTTTTTAACTGATCGTGTGAATGGGCTCTACTTATTAACCTATGCTTTTACTATTACTATTGAGATTGAATTCTGATATTTATTTATATAACAATAGAGACGATAAGTTTTTGTATTGACATATTCGCTACTACCCCAAGTACCCTCTATATGATTTCTTATATTTTCTTTTTTATAGTCTTTATTGCATATAGGACAGAGTACAGATCTATTAAAATCAAAATAATTACTATATTTAAAATTATGTTTCAAAGTTAAATAAGGAAATCACTTTAATACTATTTTAATAATGTGTTGTTGCTTTTCTTCTGGGTCTTTAGATAGAATAGAAATTGGTGATCAAGGTTTGGATGGTCCAGATTGAACATTTATTTGTAGTACAAATAAAGTCTTTTTCTCAAAAAATATCTGTGTAAATTGAGCATAAATTTTTTCCTATTCTTCCATAAGATCATCGAGCCATGCAGTACTTAATCCACTTTTTAGTATACTATGACGTAATAACTTTTCACTGATTAGCCTCTCACAATCAGTTAAAAATTTATGATATTTTTTAGGGTCTTCTTTTCTTTCTATTCCACCACAATAAAAATGTATATCTCTTTTCAAATTCCCACAAAAACATCCTGTGGTTCATCTATTTTTCTCAGTCTCTGTAATAATCAAAAATTCTTTGGGATTTATTCTATGTTCGATGGCATACTGATAAAGATGATTTTTGTTTGGATCAGTCTTGGAAATTGGGAAGGTGTAAATTTTATTTGGTGCCATTACCTGAGTTTCCAGTAAACTGTCCTGTAAGATATGATCATCAGCATCCTTTTTGATTCGTGAAGATTCAGGTTTTACTCAGAAATTGAGCCCAGTTTCTTCCATATATGCTCTATATAAGATCAACCGAATTTTATCAGTCAAAGAACTTGGTATTTCAACCAATTTAGCATACCAGTCCAAATATTCAGGGGTTAAGGCACGAAGTGTCATTTCTCCGAAATAGGCTTTATCCATATTATAATCGCAAATTCAAATTAAGTATAGGTTGTGTTTTAGTCTCATTTATACATTGCATATCCCAAAATAGCAATTAAAAAAATAAATAAATATTGTTAATTAATGAAACCAGAGAATTGCCAAAGGCAGTTACATGAGTGACTTTACAATTTATTCTGTCATTTTGATTTCTTGCTTTCCACATATAATAAAATAAGATCCAGCCTTGTATCTACCTTTTACACTTTTCTCATCATAATTTAGTTTACATACTGGACATAATGAACCCTCAATAATTCCATAATGATCAAATTTTTCAGTAATAAATGCTTTATATAGATCAGAATATCGCAACAGTATCTTATTACGAAAGTAAGCATGGTCATGGATTGGATTGGATGATACGCTTGATTCCTCTGAAATCATTTCTGATGATTTTTTCAGTGATAACTTCTTAGAAAATGCACTTACCTCAGTTTCTGGTAAAGTACTTACAATTTCGGTTGTATAATTTTGGTGACAGGCCAATGTTAAAATTTCAGTTATGTGATTTCCTATATTAGACTTATAATTAGAAATATTATCAATTATCTTTTGAATTTGTTCGTTGGTCAATTCTGAAATAGAATTTGCACTATATGCTTTAAGATACTTAATTTTATCTATACCTATTTTGTCAAATAATTTATAAGTCCTTATAACCTTTTGGGTCTTTTTGCATAAAGTTTTACACGAAATTTCTGGGAGCTGTAATTCCATTTTCTTGAACCTTCTTTTACGGATAATAATGAGATGCTCTAATATTTTATCATAAATTATACTTTTTGCTTTTTTCTTGCCAATTTTGCCATTGCTATTTTTTATAATATCATTATATTGAATTATGAACTCATTTCCATAGTTAATCCAACATAAGGTTTCTTCCTGGTTAGCTTTTATAGTGCTATATTCAGCATCAGTTGCCTTATCAAATAATTGTGCTAAATCAAGTAACAAGACTGTAGAAGAATTTTGGTGAAGGACCATCGTCAAAATTTCAGTAACATAGTTTGAAGAAGCAAAGCTTTGAAGAGGCAAAGCCTCGAGACTATGTCTCATCTTCGATTCATTTAAAAGATTATTATTATCCTGAATGCCATCAACTATCACTTGAGCGATATTTTCTGTTTCCTTTTTCTTGTGCAATCTTGACAAAGGAAATTGGTGCTGAGATGTTTTGTCCTGGCTTTTGTTTTAATTCTGATCCCAAAGCTTTTTCACAGTTTTCAAATCCAGAGATTTGGGCACATCAGTATCATTACTTCATAATAATACGGATGAATTATCTCCATTATAAATATTAGAAATTGATACTTCGGATGGTATCAGTGGAATTGATATTGGCAAGGGTGTACTATGTAGCTCTTGAGTTTGAAGCTTCTTTTCTCTATTCCTCTTTATCATCATATTACTAACCTCTTCCTTACTCTGCATATCCAGAAAATTATCAGTTTCTATATCTTCTAACGATTTATGCTTGAACAGACTGATAGTAATAGAAATTCCGGGTGTCAAGGAGCTTTGATCCCTTGCTCGGCAAAATCTGTGCATAGCATCATTTGGTGTCTGCTTCTGTTCCAATTTTGTGACTCTGTCTCTAAGCTCAGCATTCTCAGCAATGAGGTTGGCGGTAGCAGATTTATTTTTCTCTAACTCTGCCTTGACTTTAACACTCTCAGTTTCATGTCTAGTGTGTTCTTCTATCATCTGTTTTAGCTTCACATTCTCACTCTCAAGCTCAACAACTCATTGTCTCAACAAATCAATTTCAGATTACATGTTTTAGTAATAGATTTTATTATTCTATTATTTATTTAAAATGTATAACAAAGTAGCGAAAATTTCAGCGAAGGGCCATCGTCAAAAAATATTATGTTTACTGAAATCAAACGAATAAAATCCCAAAATTCATGAAATATATACGCAAAAGTAAACTGATTATTTATATGAAATTGAGCCACCGGGGCCAGCTTTATTGTTTTATTGATGCAGAAACATGTAAGTATTTTACAGAATAATAATATAAAACACGTTAACTAGCTTATTTTAGACTGGATTGACCAACAATCTCGAAAATTTTTTTGCCCATCTTATAAAAAATAAATATCTGAAATGTTTGGCTAAGGATTAATTCGATTATTAGATTAATGAATTATAATACAGTAATAAGGTTTAACCCACGACTTAGACGTTAATATAATTATATTATCTACTTCTTGTTTCGTTTTTTCATGTCTTTTTTATTCTTTCTTTTCTTTGATGCCTCACCACTTTCATCCTCTATAATTGCATCAGTCTTTCTCATTTTCTATTTTTTCACGACTTCACTCTTTGACGCATCCTCACTTTCATTGTCTATCACATTACTTGGTCGCTTCAAATTACGCTATCCTGAAATCACATTGCTCCCTGACGTTTCTCCAATTTCATCATCTCTCAACATTGCATCACTCTTTTCCAGTTTTCTTTTCTTCACGTCATCATTTGTTTTCTCATTTTCATAGTCTTCTAACATCACATCACTAGATCATTTTTTTGCACTTTTATTACTAATATCCAAGTTAATCTCTAGTGCATATTGGGTTATTTTTTTGTTAATCCATGTCGGAATTGTCTTAGAATCTTCATCTTTAATTGTCTTGTATTTTTGCAAGGGAAATGTTTCAAAAATGTTCGATGGCATGACAAAGTATAAATTAGTGTTATCCGCATCATTTATTCATGTAAGTAGATCTTTCAGTCCTTTTATCTGTACAATCTGAGTTAGTGATAAAAGTGATGATTACAAACTATAAATTATAACTATTATCCCCTACCTTAATGCTGTGGTTATTTGAGATAGTCATTTGGTACAAGTTCAAGGTTCTGCCATCAAGGCTAAAAGAATTAATCGATTTAAATGTCTTTGATTTTGGTCTGTTATAACATTCCTTACATGCTTTATCTAGTGTAGAGAAAAATTCACACTCCAGATTCTTGATATTTCTTTCGGTTACACCTGAGTTATTGTTCAGACATCACACCCTAAACATACCACCTCTTTGCAATTCCAGATGGGCATAACCTTCGAAGAGATTACCTCAAAATACAGCAGTTACTGGATCATCACTGCTTGTGATGAGATTGTGAACGTTAGTCCTTTGACTATTCAGATATTTCTCGATCATTGTGTCGAATACTTTCGAAGAAGCAGGACAATGCACAACTTCCGTAAAGTTTGATATTATTTCAAGATGTATGAGTCTACCACTAGCTGTATTTGTAAGCATGCCATATATATCAATAGAGTCCACACATATTTTTAAGTCAGCTTTATCAATCAGATTATTAAATTCATTCTGAAATGACATATTGTCCCACTTTAAAAGAACCGATCTGAATATTGGACCCCACTTGTCTAACAATTCGTCATATTATTTACATGTGAACTCTTCATCGTTCTTATTTTTCTTATTCTTGTATTGAAGATCCCAAAGTGTGAAGATTTCTTTTTGATCCCAAATTGGCATGTAGTATTTCATAAAACCCGGCCATTTGACAGCTTCATTAAATCTTTCCATTTTCGGCGATGTGAACAGGATCATATAAGCCTTATATTTAAATGTCAAAGCTTGTGAATCAACTAGAAAGAAGTTATTAGGATTATTCAGCATTTCATAAAACTGGAGAGCATCTCCTATTTGCATATTACCATCAGGTAAGAATTTATAGAAAATTGTTTCGTTGCATTGCCATACTATTATAGCATCAGGATAATTGTAGCGAATGTAAAAGAAAAGATATAGACCAAAATATGTCTTCCCAATACCGGGTGTACCAGTAATCATACAACCAGCAGAGGCTGGGCCACTTTTTTCATGATCATTTTCAATTAATTCACATAATTGCAGATAACAGGGTCGTATAAGAAGCTTCAACCCATTATCCTCATCTTCTAGAAAGAATACACCATCCAGTAGACATAGCATTTTTCCAAAGTTATCGATCAAAATTGATGGCAATCGCACGTCGGTACATTCTCCATTTCTGTATAACATGTCATCTAAATCGATAATCACACCTTTATTTAGGCAAATCTGATTTTCTTTAATCGTAAAGTAAGGTTTCAGAGTATTTAATTCAGCCCTCTTCATATCTTGTGGTATCGGGAAGATTATTCTTGTACCAAGGAGATTTTTTCAAAATTCGACCACACCAGATCCAGCTGTGAAATAATACAATGGAAAAAATAAAGGCATAGTTAGTCATTTCCATATTTATTCGACACAAAACATAATGCCTTTAATGAGTATGGCTACATAAATTAACAAACCTTGGAGCTTTTGTTCTATATAATAGGAATAAACGTATAAGGCACAAGTTAATAAATGAAATTATTGCAGAGAAAGCAGTATAGGTTTGGAATATAAGTCAGAGACTCGACACTTTGTGTCTTCGAATGCAGTCATGGTACTACTTACTCTGTTCTTCACCCTTTATTGTATTGACTAATTTTACGATTCTTTCAGCTGAACCGTCTTCCAAGCCATATTTCATGAGTTTTTTAACATTCAAATCTAGGAAGTCATCACTGGAAACCTTTTTCTTCTCGATAATTTTGATATTTTCATCGTCAAGGTCAAGCTCCTCTTATTTAGATCATAAATATGCAAGAACATTTGGTCTCTTCCATTGTTGTTGAATCTCTTTAATTGACGGAAGGGGAATATCATTAGACATAATTATTTGTTTTTTGCGTTACTTGAATAAAATTTTTTTAGCAGGAAATAGTCGTACAAGCAGGGAAAGCTTTCTATTCCGATGTATTCCGTCATATATGTTACACAAGTATTTATATGGCATGTTACTATAAAATCGAAATTTTCGTATATAATATAACTCAATAAAACAAATAAGTATTAACATGATACTTTACTAATTAAAAAGCTTAGTAGTGACCCCTTCTACAAAAAAATTAATTTACATCACGTTACATCGTGCAGTAATAGGTAGGTATATTATGAGTAAAAATACTGTATACGAGACAATAGTGTTGCTTAATTTACTAAGAGTAGAAGTTTAATGTACTTCTTTCGTTTTTTGTAGGTTTACTTTACCGAAACATGAGAATAGCACAGAGTATTCACCGAAATAAAGATTAGCATTGGGTACTGGTGATTTACTTGTCTGGAAACTGGTATAAAGATATGTACCAGTTTTTTTGATTTATTTAATTTGGTTTCTTTTTGGTTGTGCTAATTTATTCTTTCTTTTGTAGTTTTTTTCATCAAAACACCGAAACATGATTTATTTGTATTGAAATTGGGCAATACGGTGAGTCAGTCACTCCACAATTCAAAACTTCGTGTTACCTATGGTTGGCTTAGTCGAAAAGAAGCATTTAGATTTGGTCAGTGGTTTGGGTTCGTAGGTGAATATTTCTTTTTTACTTGTTTTGCATTTTCCTTCTCTTGAACTTACTAACTCTATTCCTTAATTACCTCACTACATCGAGTAATTGGACAACATGTATAACCACTCTATCCTTAGTCCTTCAGGATAGTGGAATGATACAACCACGGCTGATTCTGGTACTTTAGGATACAACAGCCAGATGTGGAGGGTAACAATTTTACTGGATAGAACAGCTAATTACAAGAATTAGGATTTATAGTCTGAAGATTTAGCGATTTGTTAATGTAGCAAGGGAGGCAGTTATGTATTTATTATTATATAAGGGCCAGGTATTATTCTAATAAAGCAAAGGACTTCTCTCCTTCCTTAGGGCCTTCACAGCCTTTATTTATATTATAATTCTTTATTTACATTTGGCATTCTACGTCTGCTACATCTGCTACTTCTACTACATCTAATACATCGTTCCCAACTCCTACTTACCCAACATGGCATTCGTAGTCTACATAGCTGAAGTAGCCTACATAGCCGAAATAGCCTAAGTGGGCTGGGTCACCCTAATTTGAAGTAGCCGTGTTATATGGCTTAGCCAGATAACAGTATAAGAACTAGTACAAAGATATGTACCAGTTTTTTTAATTTATTTCATTATCTTAATTCTTTATTGATTTTTGATAACTTTTTTTTTTTTTGTAAGATTAAAATTCAACAAAACTTGATATTAGCACCAGATGTTAGAACTAGTACAAAGATAAGTACTAGTTTTCTTTAAAGCTTGTCATCTTAATTCAGATTTTTGATTGTATTAACTTTTTGTAGGTTTTGCTTTATCGAAATATAAAATTAATGTCAAGTATTGGAAATTACTTTGTTGGAATTGGTATAAAGATAAGTATGTTTTTTTTGCTGTCGATGAATTTTTTTTTTGAGTTTAATTGTATTAACTTATTCTTTTTTTATTTCATAAGTTTAGCATTACCAAACCTTAAAATTAGTATTGCGTATTGTAGTTTTGCTTTACTGGAACTGATACAAATATAAGTACCAATTTTTTTGCTTGTCATTTTTGATTTTTTTTTTTATGCTTTAATAATCTTTTTTTTTTTTAGATTTTGTTTATGATCATGATATTAGCACAAGTTTATTTAGCTGGAAACTTATCTAAAGATAAGTATTGAGTGTTTTTTTTCTTATGTTGACTAATTAAATTTAAGTCATAATGAGCATGAATTCAATATTAATTTATTAATAGTATTATATAACAGTCTTATTACTACAGATAGGGTTGTTAAAAAGCTTGTTGGACCCGGTCTTTAAGTTGACTTTACATGGACTTTTTAGGACTGACTCAAACCTGTCCTGGACAAAGTTCTATATGCATGTTTTTTGCTCCAATTTGTGATCCATATAATTGGTCAAATGCATGTCATTTGTTTGAATTGTGATCAGGAGGCATTCATATGATTGGTTAATTTTATTTGATAATTACATATACAGATTTGATTCAAGAACTGAGTCCTAATTTAAGTCCCTATTTACTAAGTTTGGACCAAAAGGATTAGACTTTTAACAGTTCTAACTACAGGCATGAGTTACAATTGCATGATATTGAGTTTGTATTATGTCGAATTTATTAATTTTTTTTACTACTTATAATTGGTTTTATTAATTATTTACATATCAGAGTATCTGTATTATTAATCAATTTTATAGTTGAAGTAGTAGGGGAAATTAGGGCATCTGTATTAAGTTTGTATTATTATACTGGATTTGTATCATTATGCTAAGTCTATATTATTATGCAAGTTTAAGTTGTTACGCTGGGTCTGTGTTGTCACGTTAGGTCTGTGTTGTTATGTTAGGTCTGTATTATTATGTTAAGTTTGTATCATTATATTGGGTTTATGTTGTTACATTGGGTCTGTGTTGTTATGTCAAGTTTGTGTTATTATGTTGAGTTTGTGTCATTACATTGGGTCTGTGTTATTATGTCAAGTTTTTATCTTTATACTAGGTCTGGGTTGTTATGTTGAGTTTGCATTATTGTAAGAAGTTATGTTATAATAATAAATTTATTTTATGATGTTAATTTGTAAATTTATAATATTTAATATAAATTAATAATTTATATATATTTTTATTTAATAATTTAATAATTTATTATTAAAAATATAGTTTATATAATATGTATAAATAAATAAAAATTAAAAGCAATATTGAATATAAATAATGATTATTAATTTATTCTATAATTGTCTATTGATTAATAAAATTAATAGCTATTTAAAGTTTATTATCTATATTATTTTCTTCTATTTCATTATTATTTTCATCATCAAATTCATTATCATCATTAATATTTTCATCAATAATTTCATTATCTATATTATCATTAGTATTTTTTTCTAATCCTTGTTTAAATAATTTAATTTGTTTAAATATTTCTTTTTTATAATATTCTAAACAATGTTTACAAGTTGAATTATAACAATTATCATAATATGAATGTTCATAAATATATACTTTACTAGTTGAAAATCTAATTGGAATAGTACATTGATCACAAGAATCTAATGATGGTAAATGAGCTGTATGATATCCAGTTGGCAAACATTTAATATCTAAAGTTTCATTTAATGTTGCCATAAAAAATTTAGTATTATTTTTGTTTTTAATTATTTTACTTTTTCCAATATTTTGAAAAATATTTTGAAAATATTGTAATAAAAATAAACTACTTTTTTTTGTTAAATAATCTAATTGTTTTGGTTTATATAAATATATTTTTTTATTATGAAATATATTAAATAATTGATTATCATGTATATCTAATATATATGATTGTTCAATAATATTATCTGCAGTATTATTATAATTAATATTAGCTCGTAATTGGCTATGAAAATTTTCAACAAAATAATCATTAAAATTAACTAAATGTTGTAATATAATATTTGCTAAAGGATGATTATTTTGTTGCCAATAAAGATAATCTGATATAAAAGCTAAAGGTGCTTTATTGTAATTTTTTCTTTGCCATCATAATGCAAATGTCCATAATCGAAATAATGTATCAAAATATTGATTAAAATGTTCAGATCTAAAAAGAACTGCATATATATCTAAAGTAGCAAGTACTAAATTATCTAAAAGATCTAAAATCATTCTGTATTCTATATTTTTATAATTGTTTCCAAATTTTAATAAAATTTTATCAGATATTTTTTTCCATCCATTATGAATTAATTCTAATAATAAATTAATTCTCCAAGGTTTTGGTTTTTTAGCAAATTTTTTTTTTTCACCAAATATAAAATGAAAAAATTTTTTAAAAAATGAATAATGAACAAGAATCACTTGTTCACGAAAATTTAATGAAACATGAAGAGGTCCTATAATTGGAATAAAATTGCTAATTTCTTCAGGAACTATAATTGAATTAAATTCTGGAGTATCAACTTTTTTATAATAATGTGTTAAAAGTTTTCTAATATAATATTGACCTGACCAATTAGCAATTATTGGTATAATATTATTTTGAAGATATTGTTACATTGTTTCTATTGAAGTAATCATTTTTAATGCTTTTAAATAATCATTTATAGAATGTAAACTTTGTTCTTGTACTCCAATTATTTTAATATTTTTCATTAATCTTTCTTCTTTATGTTCATTTATTGCATCATCATAAATATGTATTGTAAGTAATTCAATTTGATTTTGATCTTCAAATTGAATATAATTATTTATCCAATTAAGTTTTTGTAAATTATAACTTATATCAAATGCTCCATTAATTTTAAAATATAAATATCTTATAATAAGTTGTTCATCAATATTATTTGGATTAAAAAATAAACATTTATCATGTAAATTGTAATTTATTGCAGGAACAGGTAATATATTAATAATTGGTTTTGCTACACATGTTGCCATATGATTTACTGAAGAAAGTGATGTTGTATTTGGTGTATGTATTCTATGAATATTATGAAAATCATCAATATTAAAACAATGAAAAATATTTGACTAAAAAAAAAATTATTATTATTTTAAAATAAAAAATTTAAATAATAAATATAAAATAACTTACATTTAAATTAAAATATTTATTAAGTTTTGTTAAATGAGTATTTGCAATTTCTTTTTATATCTTTGAAGTGTTGTAGATGAACACTAAGACCAGCATTTGATAAAGTATTAATTCCAGAATTAGACATTCCTGAGAATTGTAAATAAAAACCAAGATTGAATTTAAAATTATTAGCAAATTTGTTTTTTATTCCAACTAAAAGATAACAATATCCAACTACTTGTTTTTTTGCTTTTTCTTTATTTTTAGTAAGTCTATTTTATGGAATTAATGCATCAATCATTTCATCAAAAAATCCTTTTAATTTTGGCTCATTTGATTCAATCATTTCTTGAAATTGTTCAGGATCTAATAAATATTTGTTATTTTCTTTTTGATATTTTAATAATATAGTTGTTAAAAATTCTATTTTTTGAGAAAATGTATATTTTTGAGCTTTAAAAAAAATTAAATTAATATTAAAATAAATTTAATTTAAAACAAATAAAATATAATAATTACCTGAATTATTTAATGTAGTTAATAATATATTATTATTATTTGAATTTGTTAATGCTTCTATTTTTAAATCTTTTTAAATAATTAATTTAATTAATTGATTAAAATTTTCCTTATCAAATAAAATCATATTGTTGATTTTATTAATTTTAATATTTTTAATTTGATCAATTTCAGTTAAATTATTTTGAATTAATTCTTCTTTTTGAGCTTTAATTAATTCTATTAAATTTATTGAATTATTTTCTTCTTGTAAATTTATATTAATTTCTATAGGAGAATTTATTCACTAGATTTTATTAAATTATTAATATCTATTAAATTTGTAGAAGTATTTGATCTACTAACTTCCATTGAATTATCAAAAATATCTGATTTATTAATTCTATTAATTGTAGATTTTTGAAATCGATAAGAATCAACAATTTTCATATAACAATTATAATATAATTTATCTATTCCAGATTTAAGGTCTTTATAATATTCTTTATCAGGACAATTATCAATTTTATCTTTAAAATTATCAGTAACATTTCTAAAAGTTGAAATGTTTTTCAAACAAATTGAACAAATAAATTGAGTATTTTGTTGAAACATTTTTTTTTAAAAAAATAAATTTAATAATTTTGTATAAATTACATTTATATATTTTTAAAATTTATTGTGTAATAAATATTTAAATTTATTCTATAATAAATAATTTTATTGTACATAATGAATAATTTTTCATTGTACAATTAATTATTGTATAATAAATAATTTTACCATTGTATAATAAATAATTTTATCATTGTATAATAAATAATTTTGTCATTGTAAAAGGATCAACGATCTCTCTCTCCTGACCACTTGCATTTAGGGTTGAGAGTAATTTTGAAGAAACAAAATTAATCTATCAAAGAGC